AGAGTAAACCTTCCTGTAGTAAAACCTCATTTTTTTTTCATTTTTTTTCTCTCTCAAAAATCAACTGCCCGGCAATTGACTCTGATGATCACCAGCCTAGGGTTCCATGATCCCGTTCCCTGGGATCCTCCGTCGGCTGGCGGCATCATTCGCGTTGGCTGGATCTTTAAGCCGAAACAGACCGAACTGGTCCATTCAGTCATTCCCCATGGACATTGATCCCTACGGGTAGACTTAGACCATCCGTTTTTTCTCCCATTCTGCAGAGTACAGAGCGCAGACTAATCTGTAATTTCGCGATGTTAACCCAATTCGGTCTCAAACTCAAAACTCAAAAAATGATACAAAGATTGTTCAGGCCTCCTCGATACCCCACATCAAACACCCCACAGAGAAATGCGGATAATGTACATGCATATAGATCCATACTTTTATTACTTCCACACTAGATAGGTACTGCACTGCATGTCTATGTATGACAATATACTGGATGATCAGGTGCCAGAGGCAAGGGGGAGCCTTGTCAGCCGAAGGAGTCTTGGGAGAGGCACACGGGGTACTGCGTATCTATCTGCTTTGCTCTGCCAGATCTTCATGAACATGGGACTGTTATGGAGTACAGCGCAAGTACAGACCAGACCAAGGGGTGGAGAGTCCGACCATCTAACTGGGGTTGAATGATGTGCATTGTCCTACCCTGTCGAACTCCTCCTGGATTACAGATTACAGTGTCACGAGTGCCACCCTTCAAGTGCCAAAGGATGTCAGAGAGGGAGAAAGAAAAAAAAAAAAAGGCATTGAGCATGGCTGTTGTTCAACAACATTTGCCTCTCCCTCCCTCTGCTCCCCTCGCCCCCTGTTTCCTGGGTTGCCTTGATGCAGGTGTTGGAAACTGGAAAGTTGCTTGCCTTGGGAACACGGCTACTCACGTCGGTCGAGCTGGATTTGCAAAGCAACCGAGACAACCATGGATGATACTTCTACGGGAGTGTCATACATCATACCATCAATTCTAGAGTCAAATGCGCGCACCCTCGCTGCCACTTTCTCTTCATCATATGGCTCAGGCTCCGGGGTCTGATAACGCTGAGACTGGCGCGGGTCAACGCGTCAAGTACTAAGACATCTTTTTTTTTCTGGCTAGACGTCCGTTCGGCTGACCATTTTGCCTATCAATGTTGAATACCACCGACTCGGTTCCATGAGACCATCCATCTAACTTCTCACTGATACGGGTTTCCAACTGCACCAGTATGTGTATATAGCTAGCGAGCTGATATCAGCTGAGTGCGCAATGACAGCGGGACAGCCCGTTCCCAGACCCAAGGAGCTGGTACAAGGCAACTCCCGATGGGCTTGATGGCCGTCTCATGCGCTATGGTGTGTACATAGGTAGCCATAGTGTGTACTGTGCAGGTTGATGGTCATAAACCAAACCTCGGAAATTGACTTTGGCAGGCAAGTTTAGCAGTCCCGATCATGGCCGATCAGCGCCTCCCATTGATTAGGAGATGATTGTCAAGTGACGGTCTTATGTACTGCAGAAGATAGAGTTGGCCTATTTCAGGGCTTTACCTAATCACTAGTCAGAAGTCTTTCATCTTCTGGCTCTGATGATCGAGCAGCATCTTGATTCTGGTGTATGTAAGTACGTATCTCCTCTGGAATCAAAGAACAGTCTGAATCTGCAGCATCAAACAGAGATGCCACAATATCCGCGGAGTTACGAAGTTACAAAAGTCAACACGTGAACTGCATGTATACATCCCAAGTCAGTCCTACCTACCAACCTGTTGCGAATCATTGTTCGATACTAACAGTCAGTATACAGAGTAGAGCCTACTCCACAATGCCCTGTGACCTGTCAACTCGACTACCTATGTACATACATAGATACTGACAAGCCCCTTCCCATACCGACTCTATCTGGGGTAGATAGATAGATACAGAGAGGTAATACTTTACACGATCAATCATCTCGACAATTTCCATAGTCTCGCGCCCTGCTTACTCCTTGCACAAACTCAATCACCCAACGATCCGATCAGTGATGAACAGTCGGCTCCGGCGACATAAGTGGACAATCGGGCTGGGCTGGAGAAGGGCTGGCGCGCAGGGCTCGGATCGCCCCCCCCCCTCTCCTCATGCCACTTGCATGTGCAGTATCCACTGCTCTGACTCGGATCTGTATGTACTATTTACTCTGTATGTTCGATGTTGTATGCTGAAATCGCTCTTCCTGGATCTGATATCATGCTTGGGGGATAGATAGTGGTTATGAGTACATTCGTCTCGAGTACATATGGTATTCTGCGCCGCAATGCTTAAGCGCACCACCCCTGCTTGAATACCGGTTCAATGTTGAACAATAATAGATGCCCATCCTATGTTAAATAAAGTACCGGAAATATGGTCCGTCGCAGCAGATAGACTACCTAACAGGTAGATAGAAAGTATGCCGTGACAGATAGAGCGGCATGCATACAGTTTAACCGAATCAGGGCAATTCGCGAGTAATGTGAACATTAAAAAAAAAAAGGTCCCCGAGGTTCCCGAATGGGCATTAGGATATTCGACCGTCGAGTCGACACTTGTATCTGTATCGAACATCCAGTCTCCTACCTTAGCTATCGGTATGCTATGCTTGCAATATCAAAACTCAATTGCTTCGTCCTGCTCCGCGTGGATTACAGTGGAGAGCATAAAGTGTCTGTCTGCACGTCCGTAACTATGTCCTGCAGCTCAAATTGAGTAGTATCCTCCTATCCTCCTCAAGGGAAAAAAGAAAAGAAAAAAAAAAAAAAAACTACGAAAAGCAACCTTTACCCACCCTGATATACTGACAGAAGGAAAACAAGCATCCGCAACAACACCCGTCCCTACCAAGGACACCCAAATGCCACGATTCCACCGACCTGGTTAACGGGCGCGGGAGGCTTCGAACATGCTTTCGCTTCTCAGCGGTTGAACCTCTGATAATCCGCATGGACGGGGGGCGAAAGGGCAGAGTCCAAACGCGAGGATCATACCTACATACTCGATTGTCGCTGTTAGATTATAATAATCTTATTGTACTTAGTCCCGCATGGGACTCATGACACCGGTTCAGGCTCAGGTTTTTTCTGATTCAGGTTCTGCAATGCGGTAATACTCATGTATGTACTATATGTACCTTACCTGTGTCAAGGTAGACTTGGATTGTATTTGTATCTATTGTTTGTACTTGAATACTTACATAGATATTCCTCCTGGTTTGACTCCGATACAGGACCCAAAGCGCGGATGCTTCACGCCACTGGATCTATCACATTTCACGGTCTGGTTTGGTCCACACGGAAGGAATCTCTGTCACTTCATAGAAATTGGAGGGCCTTGGCCTTCTTACACCGAGGATCACTGAGATGGTGAGATGATTTGTTGCTGGGTTGCTGCTGGTTTGGTAGGCTTTGTTAGGGGGAAGGATGTGTATGGTACATAGAAAATGCTGGAGCAGGACTTTGCTATCCTTGTTTATATATGATTTGGGCTGCTATCATATGCATGTCGTAGTCCAATATGATGATGGTCGAAAAGTATTGTTTGTACCTAGTCTACATGGACATGCGCTGTAGACATGACCAATCTCCTCGAAGTAGTTAGTTAGTTAGCATGCACTCAATCAATACCTAGATTCAAGAAGCATCATTTCCCGTCGTATCCCCCAGCTATACCATTGACCATGACCATACATAAAGGTAAGCAAAGTATGTACAGAGTACTCACAGAAGAAGCCGATACTACCTTACCAAACACCTCATCCATGAAGTATCAACAACCGTGCGCACCCCAACACCATAGCGCAGACGTCAAACCACTCTGATCAACACATGGACCAAGTGCTGCTCCACACGACCCCTAAGGAAGTATCAAGTAACAGTACTGTCCGTAACTAACTACCTGACGTCTCGGCCGTTCAATCTCTCCCCCTCTCTCCTTCCATCCATCAATCCCAGAAGCCCACCCCTGTCAGATTGTCAGACACTTCTCCCTCCTTCCCCCTTCTTCTGCACAATCGACCGGCCTGGATCACCATCCCAACTCCCAATCCCCGATCATAACCATGATCATGATCTCGATCATCGGTCATCGGTCAGAAAGTACTTACTGTACGTACTTAAGGTACGCTTGCGAACTATCATACCAAATCTCGTGTTGGGGGGGGGCTGAGGGAGGAGCAAGGCTACCAATAAGCAACAAAACAGCCCCTGGCTAAATCCGTCCCCAACGAGCGTCCGGTATCTCAGTATGTAGTATGTACTTACGGATTTAGAAACACGATCGTCGCCCAGGCCCAGAGAGAATACGTACTCTGTAGGTAGGCAGGTAGGTAGGTAGGTAGCTAACAATAGCTGTCTCGATGCGGGAGGAATGGATGGACGAGGCAAACTGCGGGTGCGCGGGTAAAGAGTCTTGGATGTAGTTTCCGTGCCTGCTGGGGGGAGATTTCAGGTTCTGGGCTAAGGCGTGAAGATCAGGGGTTGTACTGCCGGCACATGGCTGAGGGTAGAGCTTTTATGATATCAGCGCGGACGGGCTACGAACAGGCAATGAGCATGTGGGTATGTCGTTCGATGCCAACAACAATCCTGTGAGTCGTCTACATAGCTACGTGCATGCATATCCACATGAAAGTGAGGTAGGATTTGAAATTATGGCAGCGGTGCAATGTAAGGGCGTATGACGCGCATCATTGCGATGGAGACTGCAGATAGCCTGGCGTGCTTATTGCTTCCCCTTGCGTCCGTGGTGATCGACCTGAGCTCATTGCATGATGGTATGCAGATTGCAGAGACGTAGTTCGGATGCATCGCTCTACAGGTTCGTCTACTCGTGTAGGCACAGCGATATGAACGTAGGGAGGGGGGAAGATTGGGGGAAATCAATATTTGCTCTCTCTAACGGTAGATGCTCAACGCTGGTCATGCTCCCTTCTATCGTAATCATTCTTGCTGAACGGATCATCACATCTTTCGTAGGAGGTAGTGGAACATCGTCCACACGCCTTGGAATATCTCCAGGCGTTGCTGCGGCTCAAAAAGGTCATACCATCGTGTTCGCCGAAGCTTCAGGATGTACCACGGCTGGTCGGGCGTGTCGGTATCCGGAGGAAAGTCGCTCTCGCCTGTACTGAGTATCTCCAGATACCGACGGTGGATGCGAAGATGCAGGATGGAGACGTGGTGGTTGATGGAGGATAGCATGTAGACCTAGATTCCTAGTCAGCAACGGTCCTCCCCACCCCCTTCCTCTCCAAATTGGAAGACCTACATCGTCAAACGGGCTGTCCGGGGCCTTTCCGATCTGAATATACCTCATCCGTCGATCCCAGAGACTCGGCCCGGGTTGCACGATCCTCCATCTCTCGACATTACTCAGTCTCCGCCCGGCACCAGGGCGACGAGATGCCACAAACGGGTGCTCGTATTTGGACCGCTTGCGATCGTTGCCATTCTCCAGTGCAAGTTCACCCTCACCATCGCCGCTCTCCTCTGCTTTCGGCGTCGACCCGCCCCATCTCGGCTTCGTTGCCCACCACTTGCCCTCGCCCGACCGCACCTCCGTTGCCCCCTGACGCGCGCGTTCCTGCGCAGCCAGCAGCATGGCGCCGAGTTCCCTGTGCAAATCGCAGATCTCTCCCATGCCGGATCCCGGGGCGTCGCCTGATTCTCGGAAAGAGGTCTCGGACCGGCATTGAGCCACAAAGAGAGGGCCTTCCATCACGCCGCACCGGGCGAGCTGTCGGTCTTTGGGAGATCGGGCAACCTGAAAAGAATGTCGGATCGGTAGCAGAAGTGTCTTGATGGCAAGTCGCGGCGGGAACATGGGTAGCGCAATCTGGCATCCAAACGGCCAGGCGGCCATCTCCGCCAGCGCGCGCACGGTCTCATCCCGGATTTCCTCTGGCATATCCCGGCCGGTACCTATGCGACGACCGGTATACCTCTTGACGTTTGCCTGGCCCTCTTCCGCCACTGGGGTCGTTCCGCTGATAGCTTGCGTTGGTGGTGATTTGTCCACATCCATGGGTGTCGCTGGCGGGCTGTGGTCGGACGGCTGAACCTCGCCATCGGCCAACATCTTGTCCTCATCGGACGATTGAGGCGAGGCCGGCCGCTCAAAATAGTTGTCCAGGCTAGGGTCCCACCACTGCGCCATCCGCTCCAGACCCGTCCAAAACTTTCTCGTATGGGTCACCCGGACCCGCTCGCGGCCATCTTGGGGCGGCAATCTCGCAACTTCTCGAAACGCATCATCGTTGTCCAGCAGTAATTCCTTCTTCAAGATTCCGAATCGACTCACGGCGGGGTACGGGTTTCCGTTGTCCATCAGGATCGGCTCGCCATCTTCCGTCTCATTCAAAGGATGGTCGCCCCAAGGGAGCGGAGGAAATATGTCCGGTGTGACCTGAGGAACGATGCGCTCAGCAGGGATGTCCTTCTCCAGTCGTAGATTCAGCGCCCTGAGCTTGTCTTTTGAGATATCCTGTGGCCGCCGAATAGAGGCCAAGAGACCGTAAACGTCCTTAAGAGACTCGTCCGATGCATCGTCTGGAACATCCAGTAGGTGATAGGCCGGGAAATCGAGATTTGTTGGAGGCGGCGGCGGGCGTCGTTCTGTCTCAGGCGACGAGCTGATTGGGGGCAACCCTGTGCCTGGTTAGCATTGGATTGATCTTCGCTTAATATTTTTGTATGAACTGTTGGGAAAGTATGAGGAAACAAATGGTAGATTTGACCAAGAAAGGGTACAAAAGAATGAGGGGAAGCTTACCCAGTCCTCCGGCCCAACAAAGCATGGTTCGGGGTCAGGTGAGTAAGTAGCCCGTCAATGAGGTATTGACAATGTCTTATTATTACCCAAACAGGTAAATGTGGAACTATCTTGAAGCAGAATTCCAAGCAGATGAACATGAGAAGAAAAGAAGAGGTCTGAGTGAAGCCTCAATCACATGCTCCTCTGTAGATGAAGAAAGAGCTAGGTAGGAGATCGAACAGATGCGCGGAATTGGATTGTGTTGCTGTGAGGTTCTTCGAGGAGAGGATTACCATGACCAAAAACAGTGGTGGAACTCTTTCAGTGGCAGCCGAGTCATTCGAGCGCTGAGATTGGTGGTGTTGATGGAAGTGAATCAACAGCCACAGTGATAGAGAAGAAAATAGTGGAGGGTGACAACGACAACAACAACAATTGCATTGAGTGGAAAGGGGAAAGAAAGTTGTGTCTGTCTCACACACACCCCAGAATGAACTGAGAAACAGAGACGACAATCCTGAGGAGGGGGAAAAGCGATGATCCTAACTGCGTGAGTATGCTGGTGGGCCAGGTTAGCATCAGCATTAGTTCATTATGTGGTTTGGTTGTTGGATTGGTGATTCGCTGGAGGGACATTAATCTCAAGGGTCATATAGATAGATAGAGGGGGTGAGAGAGGGTCGTTAGAAAGGAGACAAATGCTCCATGGATAGATAGATATATCAGGAGATATATACATCTTTTGAGTTGTATCGTCCCAGTGCTTTTGGACCAGCACTTGTGTGTACTACCCTCGATCGACAGAGAGAAAGATATATCGACACATGCACACGCTGCAGCATCTAAGCTACATAATGCGCTACACGCGCTCCAACCAAGTACTGTGATGTCATGGTGGCACTGCTACAGGAAGAAGTAGAAGGCCATAAGATCCGGTGATTCTATTCCAGGTGAAGACCGATTCTCAATGGAGGATGTTCTATCAATGTTGAGTGTTGACTTGTTGATGCTGCCAATGAGTGAGGATCGTCACGAGTTGAGTGCCTGAGGCACAGAATGGCAGCCATGAGAGGTTCCTCGGAATGACTCGGACCGGCCGCCTGTAACGTGACTAATCTCATTATGGACTAGCCGTATACGTGTTAGTGCAAGCTGACTACTACTACCCCAATCAGGCAAGGCGTCACCTGCCATCCCTGGACTAGTAGTTAGTAATCCAGCAGCTGAAGCCTCCATCGCCTAACAAACAAAACAACAGCAGTAGCAGCATCATCATCATCATCATCATCAGCAATAATGTGGATCGACACCAGGCAGCTGTTCATCATGTTCATCATCAAAAGCCTTAAAGCATAATAGCTTGTGTGTGGATTGTCAAAATACCCCTTTCGCTGTACTGCTGAGTCTCCCTTGAAGCATGGTTAAATGAAGATTCTCCCTGTGATGGAGGAGCTTGACACGAGGGGCTGGGGGAGGGGGCTTTGGGCTTTTACCCCATGCGACAGACTAACGCCCAGCCAATTTCTTCGTCACATTAACCACTGCAGAGTTGCGCACAAGAACCAGGATTGAATCTCCTCAATGGGGGTTCTGTCTCATTAGGTTCTTCCGGCACACTGAATCCCTCGAGTCAGGGACCAAAGAACCGTCATCCCCTGCTTAGTGCCGTCTCCCAATGAACTCTCTCGCTCTTCGCTCGGCAACACTAAACGGTTGAGCTGCTAATGATCTAGCCTTCAGATAGTTCTCGGATCCTCTCTTTTACGCTTCGACTTCAGACTTTTCGCCCTGTTAGTTACTCTCTTTTCGTGGAATCGTTCTTGTTTGCTTCTCCGCAGTCCGTGGTTGACTGGTTGTGTCGGACCCCATAAGCGCCGAGTCGATATCAAAACACCGTCGCTGCACTGAGAAAGAAGCCTTTCTCATCCCTCGACACTCCAAACTTCTCAGTTCATCGCGTTGTCGTTCGTTCTTTCTTGCTACAAATCTACCCTTCTTATCACAATACTACCTCTCTCTATACTGTCGACCGAGGTAGAATGCTACACTGAATTCATTTGTACCTCCAATGCTTCACCGTTGAATTTTGAAACAACAGCCTTCTCAGCGCAGTTCCAACCCCTCGCACACTGTCTGTCATGGCCTTTTCGTTCGTCTCCTAGCGGGAGCAGCTTGAGACCCCAATAATGAAGGCATAGCACCAAATACATTCACTACCCTTCCCTTTTACTCTCATATATCTCTCCATTGCTGCGGCATCGTATTTCACCTTGCTTTGTGATTTCATGAACATTGGTCGCTTCTTTCTCTTGCCAGCATCCCAGCCATCGACACGCTGTGCCACCTTGCAATCGGCCTCTACATTATAACAAATTTTCCATCGGCTCACGTATCCCCGCGTCGCAAAGCATTTGCCTCTTTCCCCCTGAAACAGCCTGCCCTCGCATCTATCCTGCGTGTGGGCTCGAGGAAATGTCGATGTCCAGCCCTTCGATTATCATATACCAAAGCTTGAGATGTACCAAGGTACCCAGGCGTTCAGTAGCGGCAGCCTCCTCTTCCACCGTCGCAGCAGAACCTACACCGGCTGTAATTGTCGCCGTATCAGGATCGAAATCCGCAGATGGTGCTAATAAACAGGTAACACCCGTCGCCGCTTTCTCGGACGGTCAAACAACTGTGGTTCCAACTACTTCCTATCTTTCGAGCGCTACAGACTTGGCGTCACCGAAGTCCGACAGTGATTCAGAGCTTCATAGGCCAATTCCGTCTCCTACTTCTCACAATCAGGCCTCTGGTCTCTCCTCTCCAAGTGTATCTTCGGATCTGTCGAGTTCAGAGGTTCTGACAACCTCCACGATAGAAACTGGCTTCATACTGGGAACTCCCACGGCACAGATCGCCACAGCAGCGTTTCCGTCCGCGACGGAACCTTCGCTGGGTTCGTCGGATGGGCAATCGGAAGATGCGAGCCATACCCATAGGCTGCGGACCATCCTTGGTAGCGCCCTTGGTGTTGTCGTTTTCGTCGGTCTATTGTTTCTCATATGCTTCCTAATATTCCGGTACAAGCGGCGAAAATCCCGCGACAACCAGAGTTTCGGCGGGAGTGAAAAGAAATTGTTGCATAGTGGGCGGCAGTCTGCCGATTCCTGGACGAGCTCCCACCATGCTTTTCCGTCCAAGACTCATTCCCTTTCAGACGCCTCCTCTGTACCCTCACTTAACCCTCTGCTGAGCCCAGCAACCAGCCCTGTCTATGGCCATCATGCGAGGGATGGCTCATATCATTTCTTGAACCCATTTTCAGACCCTTCAGGGTCACCTTGCGACCCGCATCCTCATCATACTCATGACCTTTCTGGTGCAGGGCAAGGTCCTCTCCCGCGTGATGGCCGCAGCAATGAACAAGTCACGATGGAGCAAACTCTTTCATCCGAAGGCGTACTCCTTGCGGGCTTACAACCTGCCTTATACGAGCAGTTCAAATCACCAGCATTTCCCATCCAACACGACCAACGATCCATTTATAGCAGTGAACGTAGCCTGGGTAGCACGATCATCCTCCCAGGACGAAGCAGCATTGGCAGCAGTGTCCGACGAACCAGCTATCAGATCTCCATCTCAGATCTCGCACCACTCGGTCCCAATGAGTCGGTGACCAGAGTCAGCACCCGGAGCGACCCGTTTGACTTGGAGGTGCCCCCGAACGCGATGCACAAGCGCAACTCCAGTGTTCTTCCTAGCGTCTAGCCTAGTCCACGGGTTGCCCCGAATATTGCACAGACGCAACGAGATATGCGACATGAGACATGAATGACATCTGCACAAAATCGCTCGCTTTTGTATTTGTACATCATAGGCTTCGTCAGTTACGTATTTTGGACGATACTTTGTATTATCATGATGTATGTATGTCGCCTGAAAAAACAAAAACTTATATATATATATATACTATTTCTCACAACGAGTACTTCCATCTTAAACCATCCTGTATGTATTTGAACCTCTTGTGGTAAAAAAAACCTGGAGGGTAGTGGAGAAGTGTCCCCATGGCGGGGAAATATATATTGCCTAAACCCACAGTGTTGCACATTGATGTATCGAATTGAAGCCCAAAGACCATTACTATGTGACGAAAATATGATCCGATGTTCCTACTTTCGTTTCCCTTCCCATAGACTGATCGAGGAGACAACCTCTTGATGTGGTCTATCTAGGAGTTGTTGTTCACTTGGGCTGGAAGTGTCCCAGAACAGCACAGATGGCCAAGAGATAGTCATAAAGAGTAGAATAGGCTGCGGCTACCGATCACGAATGAGGAATTACAACTCACGAGTCATGACACGCTACAAGCTCCACTAGACCGGACCGAAGTTTTGACATTCAGTAAACGTTACGACATTAGAAGAACAGCATTGACCGGACCAGAGGTCGAAGAGAGGGTTAGATGGAGGGAAGGGAGTAGGGGGTGGTGGTGTGAGATAAGAGAGATGAAAAATAAAAAAGAAATCAAAAGTGTTTCCAGAGAGACTCGTATCACACAAGAGCGCCATGCCATTTGGTTTTTCCTTTAAATGAAGAAAGAAAAAGAAGATTTGGTTTCCTTTTTGTTTGTCTCTCTCTCTTTCTCTCACACACTCGTGCTCCGAGATAGCATTTACTGCTTCCCGAGCCCAGGTATCAAATATCTTCTTTTCCCGGACGAGAATCAAACCACCGAGCCCGACCTGGAGAGAAATAACAAAACATGGCCGACCTGATTCCCGTTGGCAGATGGATCCCCCACCCCCCAACTTCGACCTCCGCACCGCCAAAAAAAGTTCAGATGGCTTTTTTTGTTTACTCCTGCTCCTCACCGGCGGCCAGAGCGTTGCGCTTGGCCTCGATACGCTCCTGTCGTCTCTCGCGGTGGGCCTTGTTCTTAGCACGCTTGGCATCCATCTCCTCCTTGAGCAGACGCTCACGGTGTCTCTCAGCCTTGGCCTTCTGGATCTGTATTGCGAAAGAAAAATGCGTCAGTCTCGTGCTCATGTTGGTCCCTTTTCTTCTTCTTCTCGTGTCTCGAGTTTTTGTCTCCATCCACTTCCAAAAAAAAAAAAAAACGCCAAATGGGATCAGGAAAACTTACGTGCTCGATGAGAGCACGCTTGTGCTTGAAAGTGTTACCCTTGCTCAGGTGGTAGAGCTCGTGGTAAAGGTGCTTGTCGATCTTGCCAGCGGCACGGTAGCGGACGAGAAGACGACGGAGAACACGCATGCGGCGCATCCAGAGGAGCTGGCTGGAAGAGACAAAAAACATCCATCAGTACAGGTTCACACGAAACCACCCAGTATCACAAATGCAAAACCGATGCTTCCATCGTAGATCCACAACCAAAAAAATCCTAGACAAGGGGCGAGGGTGTGCATACCTGGGCATACGAGCGTCCTTGGTACCCTTGCGCTTACCCAGACCGCGGTGTCTGCCGATTCTGCGGGCGGCGTTGAGCTCACGGGCACGGGTGCGGGAGTGCATGGTGACGGGCTTGCGGATGATGAGGCCATCGCTGACGAGCTTGCGGATGGTCTGACGGGAGTTGGCGTTGGAGATCTCAGTCATCTCATTGGGATCGAGCCAAATCTTGCGCTTGCCGCAGCCCACCACGGAGGCGGCGAGGCGCTTCTGGGTGCGAAGGTTGACCCTGTTGAGCGAGAAACCACACGGTCAGCGTTTGTTTCGAGGTCCAAAATTTCCGACGACACGAGTTTCCCCCAGCAAAGAAATTTCCCCCAAATTTGGGCCATTTCCAAGCGCTGATCGTGGGGGAAAAATGCCCAGCAAAGGACGATATCTCCCCGTGAAAAACAATATCAGAATCTGAAGATGAAACTCACATCTTGATGTCGGCGTATCGACGGTCGTTGGCGGATGATGTTCGTTGCACTCGTCGACGGGCAGAATTCCCAGGTGAGGAGTTTGAGATACGGCGGTTGATTAGCTAAGCGACTGTGCTGCTAAGCGAGGGAGCCACTTTAGGGTTTGTGCCCCAGACGCTTGTCCCGACCGGGGAAGCTCGATGAGCCTCAACGGTTAGTCACCAAATGGCCCAAATGCCATGGAATCAATGAATCTATCGACTGTGCTGATGGAGAACTAATTTTATTAGACTCATTGTCTAGAAGGTGTCGACGTAGGCTAAAGATAGAATTACTGTCCATACGTTTTTCTCATGACCTGCTTCTTGTCATTTTCTGTATCCTTTATCTTGAGGTTCTCGGCTAAACCGTCACGTGACCATTCGCAATCGAAAGCTGAAGAGGCAGTATGTATACTGAAAAGTCAAAAGAAAGAAATTCATGCTTCATATCATATAGACTATCTAGATTTTTTTCAAAATGTAAAGCGGCTATAGATCTAAAATACCAAAGGGTCAAGATTCGCTCATGCCATGATGTCAATCGTCAATGTTATGCGCCTGGTAAAACGTAGACCATTTCCAATCATTCATCGGCAAATGAGCTCTCCCCAAGATCGACCTTTCCGATGCTCCACACTTCCTTCTCATCCTCGACCTCGTCATTGGATAGACCCAGTCCTCCCTGTCCACCTTCAGCCTCTTTCCGTTCTCTAGCCTGGCTGGCAAGACGGAGTGCAACACGCTTGAAATAGTCGGACATGCTCCGCTTGGGCCCAGGGGGCAGTTCTGCTCCAGGCCCAGCCATATACTTGTCAAAGACAGCACTTTCAGATTCCTCGACCGAGAAGAGGGACAAGAATGCCGCTTCAGCAGCTAGCTTGACGGGGATGATCACGTCACGAACGCAGCTAAAGATTGGAGGTGCAAGCAAAGCCAGATGGGGCCGGGTCAACTCTGGGTGCAATCGGCTCACCGTTCGCAGGACCACCAAGGTCAAACGACGAACGTCGGCAGGCATGCCTGCCTGGATGCAAGGCGCCAGAGCTTCGAAGATAGCCTTGTTTGCCTCGAAGTTGCGGTTCGCATCATCGATCAGGAGGGACTTTCCAGCAGCAAGTACGCTGTTTTCAGCAATGAAAGGCTGTCGCAGGTATTAGACACACAATCTGTATTTGAGGGACCAGGTAAAACATACATCCTTGTTGGAAACGCCTTGGCAGATGATCGACTGGGTTTCGGCGGCGAAATTCTCAGTCAAAGATGAGGGTGAGTCAACGAGCAAGGCGTTCAATCCCAAAATCGATGCGTGTGTCATGTGGCTCGCGAGAACACGGTTCCTTTGAAGATATTAGCACACCATCCTGATAACCCTCAACCAACGGTAGTGTCAACGTACTTGATCAGGGGACTCGCGGTTGCGGGAGGAAGAACCTTGACCAGCGCGCCGAGCAGTTTGGCGTTTGTAATAGCAACACCATCTATCAAGCAGTTAGAATATTCAATTTCATTTTTGAAGAAAATCCAGGGTAGCTTACCGGTCTGATCGCTAGCGTCATCGTCGATCAACGCAAGGATGGCATTCTTGGAAGCATCACTCATATTGCCGCCAGCTTTGCCCACAACCTCCTGCAGTGCCTTCATCATCGCGTTCTTCACGCCAATGTCCTCTGTCTTCGTACCCGTAATCAATTCTTATACAGGATTAGCATTCCAAAGCCTCAAAGCGTGCCGCATGATTGAAGTGACTCACCTGCAATAAGAGGATCGACTCTTGGAGTCAATGTAATCAAGATTCCAAGACCCTTTGCAGCCCTGTTACGCAGTGTCTCGCTGGTCGAGTCAGCCAGACCTCGCGCAAATGTACGCTGAAGCTGTGGCAGGAACGGCTTGACTGCGAGCGGAATCTTCTCAAGGAGCTTGTTGAGTGTGAAGAAGATAGCACCTGATTATTCCAGTCAGCGTTATGCATGATCATGTTAGGAGAAATGTATCAGCTTACACTTGATTTCCACCGAACGTTCAGAAACAACCCTGATAAGAGGACCAGTAATTTGTGTGACGAACAGCTTCAACGAGTTTGCATTGGTACGGTCGATGATGTCGCCAATGGCCAGTGCCGCTTGCGTACGCTGTTCCACGTTGCCGTTGAGGAGACCCTGCAAGAAAATTGGCAAGATAGCAGTGATACCCTTCGGCAGGCTGAAACCAGGCAGATCGGCTCCAGATACGCCCACTTGCCGCAGGATCTGACGTGTCGGGATCGTAAGAACCTCCATTTCTTCTTTGCGCATGTGCGACGTAAGGCCGCTGAGTGCGCTCCAAGCGGCCTTGACAACTTCCTTGTCGGAATCGTCAAACGAAATAAGTAGGACGCGGATAAGATCCTGGTAGTATCTGGAATAATCGATCGCGGCATCGGAGAAGAACTTGTTCAGATGGAGAGCAGCGCTGGCGCGGCGCCGGTGATCATCATGCTTCAGAAGCGCCATCATGACGTTCATCGCAACATTCAGACCATCGAATTCGTCTACAGATACCAAGACGGTGTCGAACGCGTTGTTCAGTTCTTGGATTTGCTCCTCGTCCTTAGTTGCGAGGATGTTGTCCATCAAGGAGTTGAGGATTGTGGGCAACCTGCGTGTCATGGCCGAACCTGCCACCTCAGCCAACGATGCGAGCGCTCTGGCATTGAATGCAGAGATAGGCGAAGCAAGCAGGGTTGGGATAAGGTTGGGAAGGATGGCGTTGGCTCTTGTTTGCTCGGTGAGGAGGGTGAGGAGTGCCGAAAGTGCTTGCTCAGCGTCCTCGTTGTTTCTCAAGAGCATCAGGAGATGAGGCAGGACCTGGTCGATGGCCTTCTTGCCCAGAATCTGCTGGAGTGCATCGAAGGCTTCTGCTGCCGCTTCACGGACGTCCTCATCGTTCTCGACGAGAGCCACCCGCACGGTAGATATGAGAATCTTCTCGTAGTCTTCCAGGGCCTCAGGAGAAGCGGAGGTAATGAGTTCTCTCAAAGCAATGCAAATACCCTGCTTAACATCTACATCGGGCGAAGTGCGAAGCCCCTCCTCAAGAGACGGCAGCAAGGTGGCAAGCACAGATTCACCGGCCTTCTTGATAAGGTCTCCGAGAGCGTTACTGGCAATAACCTTATGCTCCATGTTCGAGGATCCAAGACGCCGGATAATGAACTGCGACAGCGTAGGCACCATCTCCTTGAGTGTCTTGGGGGACGCAACGAGCGACTTCCAAACGGCCATCGCTGCGCTCTTGACAAGACCAGATGTATCGCAGCGGCAGATGAACAGTGCAGACAGGACCTTGTTTCTCCTCTCTTCTCCGAGAACCTCGAGCAGTGACTGGCCGGCCTGGGCAGCCTCCTCTTCTTCTTCCTCGGCATCTGCCTTGGCTGTGATACCCGTGATGCTGAAGAGCAGATCACCCACCAGTTCAACGGAGCTCAATCTGATACGGTAACTGTCGTCCGCAAGACCGCGTTCAAGCTCCGGAAGAAGCAAGTCAATAGCCTTGGAAGAGAAGTTCTTAACCAGCAAACGACCGGCCTTGAGGGACGTCTCACGGATGGAGTCCACATCATCAGCCAATCCTGCAAGGATGGGCGGGATAATCTTGCTGAGATAAGGCGCGAAGCTGTTTCCAAAGCAGGCAGGCAAGAAAATGAAGAGTGTCATAAAGCCTTCTCGGACAGCAGGCTTCGAGCTTGCCACATTCTGCAGAATGGTTGGTAGCGTTGCTTCCAATCTGGTTGTGCCCAAGCCCGCCAACACCTCCGAAAGAGCCTGGGCGGATCCCAACCGGTCACCAGCGCCAGTATCCGACTTGAGTGTGGACATGAGATTGGGAATGAGGTCAGGCAGAGCATCCTCACCAAGCTTCTCAATGAGCGAACCAAGAGCCTTGGACGCGGTAGCACGAGTAGTCGGCACTGGGTCGACGATCGCCAGCTGCAATCCCGAAACGATGATAGGCAGATGAGAAATGAGATCCTTCCGCTCAGTAAGGTGAGCCAAACTACCAATGATTTGTGCAGATTTCTTCTTGGTATTCGATCTGTCGCCGAGACCACGCTCCAAAATACGGACAACAAGTGCCAGAGAGGGAGCATCGAGGTAGTGAACGAACGAGACCTTGATGAGTGCATCCAAGGCTTCATCCGTGTACTTAGTGGGATCACTAAGGGCTTTGAGGAGCACATTAACCAGACCTTTCACTTCAGGGTTGCTGATGACCTCGCCGAATCGTTGAAGACTGCGGTTTGCAGCATTGCGCACCTCCTTATGAGTATCGTTGAGGACCACAGTAAGTGGAGGGATGATATCGGGCAGACTCGCCGCCAACTGCTGTGGGTCGAGGTAAGCCATCGCTCCGAGGAGGTCGCAGGCTCCCTTTTGACTGCGCCATTGCGTGTCGTCCAGACCATCGAGCAGAGTAGGAAGGATTTTCTTTACACCGTAGGAGCTGAGGTTGGAGAAACAAGCCTTTGCGGCGTCGAGACAGGCGTCGCGCACGTCGATACTGGGATCACCAAAGCCAGCGAGGAGTTGAGGGACGATCTGGATGACATATGGCTCGAAAGTTCGTCCAAGAATGGTTGCGAAGAGTTCATATGCCAATAGGGCACCCAACCGTTGGTGTGCTTCTTTCTTATTTTCAGTGGCGTCCGTCAAGTGAGACATAACCCGGAACTCCCTCAGAGTAGAGATACCTCTTCCATGAACAATGCCAGCAAGACCATAAGCTGCGCCACGTTGTGTAGCATAATTCTTGGTCTGCAGAAGTTGATTGAGCATTTCTTGCACATATTCTCCACTCTTTGGGCCGCAGAGCCGGATGAGGGGTGGAAGACATCCTGAGACGGCGGATTGGACGGTCTCTGAGGGGGTTGGAAGCGTAGCCAGAAGTCTCTTGACGACTGTTTGCAACCGCGGATCATCCGATTTGAGATGCCGAGCTAGGGAACCATACAGAACGACAACTGCTTCGTTTAGAAGATCAGATGTTTGGCTTCCCTTGTCCGAGGTCTCCAGAGTAGTCTCCAGCATCTTCATCAATTCCTCAACCCTCTGCTGGCCACGGGCGGCGATAACAGATCTGCCGCTGTCGGCCATCTGGGACCTCACCACCGAGCTCCTATCAATAAGGGGACCCCTTTCGATCAAGAAACGAAGGAATGAAACGATCTGATCACCTTCAAATCCATTTGTCATCGCGCCGAACGCCAGAGCAATACCACTGCGACATTCCCAATGATCGGTTGTGTCCACTTTGAGGGGCATGCCATACTTGTCCTTGCCGGGCTGCTTGGGCTTCGCCTCATCTTCATATTTGGATTGTAATTGTTGAACAATGTCCCCAAATACAGACGGGTTAAGCTCAACTGCATGCGCCAATGCGCGAGCAGCAGCACCTCGGAGCTGAGAATCATTGGATGAAAGATATGGAATAATCTTCTCATACGATGTCTCTTCAACTTCTAGCGCATTCTCCTCCCAGATGGTCTCGGCAATTTCGGTATTTTCCTCCACCTGATCATGGCAGCTCAGCCAGATGTGCTCAGAGAAGTCCAGATCAGTGAGGTCAATTTCGGATTCGATGGCTTGAAGGACTGCAGTTCGGACAGTCGTGTCCGAGATGATTGTGCCTTCGAGGAGCACGTTCAGCTCATCGGTGGTGATATTGGAGGCGATGCACCGGCAGAAGTCAAACAGGGTATCTTTAATCAGCTTGTAATGCTGGGTGAATTTTTGCATGGCTTTCAGTAGGTGATCCAAAACCTCAACCCTAGGGAGACGGTTGTCGGAAACTATGCATGAAGCGTGTCAGCATTCATAATCTGATACCGTATCTTCCATGTCAGAACTTACACGAGCCGGAGTGGAAAGACAAGAACTCGAGGGCCAGAAGCAACTGCTCTCCTTCACCTTCGCCTTTGACTTCTTCAATACCGTTGCGGCTAAGAACCAAGAATATCAAGGGTAGAACGTAAGCCAAAGAAGTCATATCGAATGGACGCTGTTCAGACGCAAAACGAAGGCGATAGAGAATTCTTGTAACAAGCTCTGTTGGTCCATCAGATTATATCCATGGCATAGTAGATTGTGACACTTACCGCCAAGTGGCTCGGCTTCCACCTCAGCAGGAAGATGAGACCCGCCGATTGTGCGCAGTGTCGCGACACCGACAAAGGGGCGCAAAGGGCCCAGGCGGGATGAGAGTTTCTCAGCACATTTCAAGTAGGCCTTGGACACGACATCACCCGCAAATAATCCAACACCAGCTTTCGCTAAAGATAGCAAAGAACTCACAGCAGGATTGATCCAGCCATCGGCGTCAACGGCAGGCCCACTTGCAAGACCCTGGATGATTCCGGCGCCTCTTTCAATGCGCTTCACCTCTCGCTGAACTTCTTCACGAATTTTGGATTCCTTTGCAAGCTGAGCCTTGACCTTGGCCTGTTCGTCTGCGGTAAGCTTCTTTTGCGTCTGGCCTTTCTTTTGAGCCAGCTGTGCTCGCAGCTCTTCTTCCCACTTGAGGGTGTCGTAGTCCTTAGTGTTCTTGTCAAAGGTTGACTGTTTCTTGGTACTGAGGACGTCAACAAACATGGTTCCTTCGGGAGTGCGGGCAATGGCTGCGTCCGTAGGCGTGAATTTCGAGAAACGTGAAGCATCAAGATCGTCTTTAATTTGGCGGATAAGACGAGGGATCATGGTGTCAGGTGCCACGAAAGCCAAATCGCCTGCGGCACTCCAAATGGCTGCATCGATGCCGGGGATTGAAGATCGGATTGGGTCCTATAGCTAATCAGCAAGCTCTTCAGTCTCATAAATGCAATAATCAAGACGAACCTCCTGCACCTGAGTCAATTGCTTCATGAAATCATCGCAATATTCCCGGACTAGATCGCCGGGATCGATGCCAGTCCTCAAACAAAGCGCAATCCACGAGACATTGGGAATCAATTCTGGCCGGCAGATAACAAGCAACTGAACGAGTTGCTTCTTCAAATCAGCACAGATAGCGTCGGAATGCACATCGGAGGCTGAGGGACATATGGCCTTTGCGACCAGGTGAAGTAATTTGTCACTTCCAGGTCCGGTGGACAAGGCAGCAGACTCTTTCTCCGCAGTTCTCAGAGAGAGAATCCAGGCCCAGAGAGCTTCGCTGATCACGCGACCCATTAGTTCAGGTCTCTGCAGATGAACAACTGAAAGCGTATGGGCTGCTTCCTCTCGGAAATCCGTACGAAGCACAGGAGCCGTGATAGTGTAGATGAACGCCTGGGCCCAAGCAATCTTGGCCGCTTCTTCGGCACTTTCGAACTTAGACCCAGACGACACAGCCGCAAGTGCTCGAACTACCCATTCAATCTCTCCTTGAGTGACTATCTTGGTATATGCCTTAGCGTTAAGGAGGAAAGATGGCTTTGGACTAAGCAGCATTGATTGAGACACGATGTTCTCCCAGACGGTCTTGTCCAGGCCCTGAGCAGTAGTCGCACGCTCGTAGAATGCAAGGAAAACATATGCTGCCGATAAAGAGCCACTCTGAGCCGATGGCAAGGGGTTAGAAGTAACTTCGTTGAACAAGTCCTTCATTTTGTTCAAGAACTTGGTTGCGAATGGCTCAACTTCAGCACTGGCCAAGGTTGCTGCCTCGACACGCCAGAACACGTCTCCCACATTCAGTTGCCACAATTTTCTGAATGGAATACGCTTATCGGCAATTCCCTTGATGACGGTATTGACAACATCATCGCTGACCTTAACCGTGGATTGCAGAAGGAAGAAGAGATGCTTGCAGAAAGCTTTGATTTCTTGTTCCAATGCGACTTCGTTGGATTCTCTGGAGAAGATGGGGACGAATCCCTGTACTATGTCTTTTGAGACAGCCTCAGAAGGCAATAAACCATAGAGTGCCTGAGCATATACTGCACGTTGTTCCGGGCTTGTGATCTTCTGGGTCTTGAGTGGCCCAATGACTTCGCCAGTAATCTTGGAAAGCACGCTCTCATTCCGAGATTTAGAAAGAACAGATTCAAGAGACTGCACAGCACCTTGCCTTATAACTGCATTGTTCGACTTCATGCTGGAGAGAAGGTGCTTCAGTAGCCGGGAAAACAGGATCTCCGACAAGTCAAACTCCGCCGGCAATGAAGAGCAGAGTGATGTGATCAACCCGCTCAGCACCACCTCGGGGGCACGTAAAAGCGCCTTTTCAAGAGGCGGCACCACTTCTGACGCCAGATCCTCGTATGTGACGAAAGAGGAAAAGAAGTCAGCCATGCCGCTTGCAATGTGCTCTGGCACCGCGGTCTTCGATCCAACCAATTCCTTGACATAGTAGGCCAGAATCAACTTCTTCTCCCCTTCCAAGACCGACTTCCTGTTTGGTAGACGAACACAGACGCCGGAGATGACGCCAAGGAAAGGTGCATTCTTCTGTCCTGAGGCCGAGTCGCTAGTCAATCGAGCGACGGATTGGCGGACAGCATCCTCGCCCCATGCCTCCGATGAGAAAACGGTACGCAGGGCGCGCCTGGTGACCGTAAGAGCAGACTGCTTCACCGTCGGTTTGGGGCCAGCGGCCAAGCAGGTTTCCAGAGCCCTCGCATTCACCACAACAATATCCAGCACGACGGAGAGAGGAGTGTCAGGATCATCCTTCAAGATCTGCAGAAGAAGAGAGCACCATTCCAGCAAGACAAACGCAGACGAAGGAGCCAAGCCTGGTTTTGAGGCCTCTACCAGCAACTTCTGGGCGAGGTATTTCAGATCGTCGGTCGGGATGGGTGCCTTGAGGAGCGTACGCAGACATTGCTGGACAGCCTGGCGGGAGGAGCGATCGATGTAAAGCGGATAAGTAGTAAACAGAAGTCCGAGTAGAGGTTTATGGGTTTCTTGTGGTAGCTCAGAACCTGTAATTGAGACGGGTGTGAGCGATTGACCTGAAATGTGGCTGCTTCGGGGAGGGGGGTTTTCGAAGCAATAGCCCAACTTACCGATTCTATCGCGGAGTTCCTGGAGAGCACGAGTTCTGCGAGCAGTCGAACTCGAAAAGAGAACGACTCGCAGACTCTCCAGGTCCCCTGCTTTCACCTGTTCCCATGGAAAGTCGTCCATGTTAGGTGGACTGGAGCATGTCGGCGTGAGCGATTTGCTGCAAGGCCTTCCCGCAATGCTGTCATAAAAGTTTTCGACGGTTGTGGGGAGAGCAGCTCCGTCAACCGCAGCCGACATCATCGGCCCTGTCTTGCGCCCATGGAGACCTTTTCATCCCTCAACGCTCGCATCCACGCATTCGAATTGTTTTCAAGACGATATTCCGTGCTGATATTTCAAGTTCAATCGCTGCGTGATTCTGGGGGTTGAAACGGTCTTTATTGTGCCTTGTCTCGACCCCTCTTGACTGAGGCGGGACCAACAACCAGACCATGCCGGCCAACAATAAGCGAAAGAAGAAGCCAGCGTCCAATCCTGCTCGTGGCTTTGCGACAGTTTCCGTGCCTTCGAAACCGAAATCCGTGGAATCGACAGCTCCGGCATCAACGGCGGATTCCAAGTCGGTCACTGAGAGTGAACGGCCCACACCTGCAGAGGCGAACCAACCGGTGCCAGACAAGCAAGACGCTTCATCCCTTCAGAACTATTCGCCGGAGGAACTTGAGAGGCATTTGGAGAATGCGGAACTGCAACTACTAGTTGAGAAGCTAGCTGCTAAGTGCAAGAATGATGCGGCTCGGCAGGTCACAAAGCTCGACACTGAACGGAGGCTTCTGCGGCAACAGGCCGTTTCTTTGAATCTTTTGGAATGGTTTCCTAAAGAGCTGCAGGAACAGGTTCTGACCCTGGCGGAGGCAGAGGAGCGGGAGCTTAGCCCCCCATCCATGCGCGAAGCAAACGGCCTGAAGAAGTCCGGCTCTGAGGAGGATCTATACATGAGACTGTGGACTCTGCGAGAGACTCTCCTGAGGCTTGGATTTCCGGAGGCGAAAGTGGACGAGACACTGAAACATGTGCTACTCTACTTTCCGGTCAGCTCTACGGGTTCCAACCGGGATATGGTGTGGAATTTGGACGAGTCTCTGGACTGGCTCGCAATGCACTGCTCCCCTGGGGAATTACCATCCTATACTCAGACAAGTACATTGACAAACGAGTCGGATCGATTTACTTCCTTCATGCCTGGTATATCTAAAGCCATCAATAAACTCTCGCACATAGGAGGCTAACACCCCAGTAGATCGACAGTCGACGAAATCCTCGCCCAGGGCAAAGCAGGTTGACAGCAAGCCAAAACCGCCAAAGACCGTAAAAGCGGTTACTCCTGCACCATCTAGCCCTTATGACTCTGATAGTTCTCTCGACCCGGACACATTACTTCCAAAATACCTCGAATTGCAAACCAAGCTGTATAACCTGCAGCCGGAAATATTTGACCAGCCAAAGAGGGGTAAAAAGTTAAGCCGTGGGCAGGCAAATTTGAGCAGTGACGATCCCCAGGTGGCGCGAATTCAGCGCAAGGTGGCAAGTATCGAGAACGACGTCCTGTTTGACCGCCATGAGGCGGAATTTCGATGGCGGGACAAGCTAGATGATCTACGGAGAGAGGCTGCATTCACCCGGCAAGTCGCTCGTGATGAGGATAGATCTGCTCAGGCGGAGTCAGAAGACATTGAGCAATCGAAGGAGAAATCGGTAACTGAGCCGGAGAACCGCGCTCCTGCGATGGACGACCTCGACGAGGCTGGAGACCTTCTTGGCGATATGTTCCAGGCGGATGAGCCAATATTTGAGACGGGTATCATTACGGAGGAGCTCAAGAAAGCAGCGGTAACAATCCGCGATTTCGGAAAATGGACAGGGCTCAGTCCTCGACGTGTCTTGGAAGAAACATGCAAGTCCAGGTGAGGCCACGGTCTTTCCATTGCAATGGTTGAAGTTGCTAATGCTTCATTAGGGATACCGGATGCACAATCTCTTTTAAAGACTTTTCCCCTTCAGCACATACAAACAAAAGCGCCGTGGAAGTCCGATGGTCAAAGCCTCAAGAGGCGCCTTTCCCGCTTGTCCTGGACAAAGTTACACATAAATCCAACTCGTACGCGACCTTTGTGTCCATGGACGAAGTCGCAACACCTACATCGCAACAAGCTGAATCATTTGTTTCCACACTATGTCTTTTTATCCTTTTCCCGCAGAGCTCGAAGGAAGGAAAGGCCTATCTGCGGCTGCCCGCTGTCTGGAGGGACCTTTGGGCGGAATGCGCAGAAGCGAAGAAGATCCAGGAGGAGGAAGGCGACAAGAGAATTGTCAAGAGTCTCAGGAGTCTGATACAAGGCAACCATGCCATTTTTGAGGATGATGTTGTACTGGCAGACAATTTTCGACGGAGAAATGGTGCTTCTGGAAAAGCCGAGTCTCCCATGAGATCTGGCGCCAAGGATTCTCAAGAGCCTGATGAGCGGTTGCAGAGGATCTGGCTGGAGAAGTCATCCACGGCGCCCTTCCAACATATGTTACAGGGTAGGATGAACTTACCAATCTGGGATTTCAAGGATGAGATTCTGAGTACGCTGGATACACATCGCGCAATCATCATTTGCAGTGAGACAGGAAGTGGCAAAAGCACACAGATTCCCTCATTTATTCTTGAACATGAGTTGAAGCAAGGCCGCCGCTGCAAGATTTACGTGACAGAACCGCGGAGGATCTCTGCTATATCGCTGGCTCGAAGAGTCAGTGAGGAACTGGGAGAGAGCAAGTCCGACGTAGGAACACCGCGCTCTTTGATTGGTTTTGCTGTCCGCTTAGAGAGTAAGGTCAGCCAGTCTACAAGGCTGGTGTTTGCGTACGTCTCCTTCTTGATCCATGGGGACTCCCGCTGACATGCTACAGGACGACCGGAGTTGTTGTGCGGATGTTGGAGCGGTCGGACGATTTTAGGGATATCACACACATTGTTCTTGACGAGGTCCACGAGCGCTCGATCGATAGCGACTTTCTCCTCATTGTTCTGCGTCGGCTGATGCAGAAACGGCCCGATTTGAAGTTGATCCTCATGTCGGCGACTCTCGAGGCTCAAAAGTTCTCTTCGTACCTCGGTGGTGTCCCCGTGTTGAATATTCCTGGACGAACGTTCCCCGTCGAGATGAAGTACCTGGAAGATGCAATCGAGTTGACCAACTACCGGTTATCAGAAAATGAGGCAAATACCCTTGTTGATGAAGACGTGGAGGATGTGCCCTCGGAGAATGCGGAAGGAGATACGGCCGGTGGTCTGCTGGCCACTCTTGACCAATACTCTAAGCAAACCAGAGAGACGGTGCTGAATTTCGACAAGTATCGGCTCGACTATCAGCTCATCAAGCGACTGCTCGTCAAACTCGCGACGACGCCCGAAATGATACCTTATAGCAAAGCTATCTTGGTATTCATGCCTGGTATGGCTGAGATCCGGCGACTGAACGATGAGATTCTCTCGGACCCTGTCTTCCAGACCAGCTGGATCGTACATGCCCTTCACTCTTCTATTGCCAGTGAAGACCAGGAGAAGGCGTTCAATGTGCCTCCAGAGGGCATGCGGAAGATTGTGATTGCTACGAACATTGCGGAAACTGGTATGCTCGGAATCAGATGGAAAATCTTTTTTAGTACTGACTCTCTTAGGTATCACGATTCCGGACATTACTGCTGTTATTGATACTGGCAAGGAAAAGTCCATGCGGTATGTAACAACAAAGTGTGCTGGCAGAGGGGATTTTGCTAATATGTTTTAGTTTCGATGAGAGACGACAACTATCGAGGCTTGTGGAGACCTTCATCTCGCGGGCTAATGCAAAGCAACGGCGCGGAAGAGCTGGGCGTGTCCAGAGCGGAATCTGCTTCCATATGTTCACCAAGCATCAACATGACAAGCTGGTGCGTAGCATCATACTCGGGATTGTAGAATTTGTGTACTGACAACCCACAGCTTGCAGAGCAACAGACACCTGAGATGCTTCGCTTATCCTTGCAAGATCTTGTACTTCGTGTCAAGATCTGTAAGCTTGGGGAAGTGGAGCAGACTCTGCTCGAGGCGCTGGATCCGCCCTCATCCAAGAACATACGTCGCGCGATTGACTCTCTGAAGGAGGTCAAGGCTCTCACGAATTCAGAGAGCCTGACTCCCCTGGGAATGCAGCTTGCCAAATTGCCCTTGGATGTCTTTCTCGGCAAGCTGATCATCCACGGCGCGTTCTTCAAATGCCTCGACGCCTGCATCAGTATTGCCGCTATTCTGTCTTCGAAATCGCCGTTTGTCAATACGATAGGATCCAACAACCAGAAAGACCTGGCAAGACTTTCATTTAAGAAGGGTAAGTAGTTTCTCTGCAATGTGGATCTATATCTTGCTAAATCAAATCAGGCGACTCGGATCTTTTGACCGTGTACAACGCCTACTGCGCCTGGAAACGCACCAGAAGCACACCAGGCGCCAACGAGTACGCGTTCTGCCGGAAGAACTTTCTGAGTTCGCAGACACTTCTCAACATCGAAGACATCAAGATGCAGTTGGTAGTCTCTCTTGCCGACGCAGGGCTCCTGAACCTGGATCCGGCGCAAAAAACATCTTTGAACAGGTATGCCCGTTGCTCTGCCCTCCCCTCTTTCAGAGTGTATGCAGAAACTCATCAAATACAAGGACCCGGTCCGGTGGCCGCCAGCGCCAATTCTTCACCGTTCCCGAGGAGTACGACACGAACAGCAGCAACGACACAGTGGTCAACTCGGTCATCGCGTGGAGCTTCTACCCGAAGCTGCTGACGCGCGAAGGCAAAGGCTGGCGCAACGTCGCGAACAACCAATCCGTCACGCTGCACCCGACCTCGGTCAACAAGCAAGCCGACGCCTCGCTGAAGTGGCTCTCATACTACCACATCATGCAGGGTCGCAACCGCAACTACAACGCCTTTGAGACCAACGCGGTTGACGACTTTGCCATTGCCCTGCTCTGCGGCGAGGCCGAGTTCAAGGTATGCTTTGAATCTTCTTATCCCTCTTCCACTCATTAAGATCGTCCTCAAGAAACGCAGACTAACCTCCCGGGAAAAAAAGATGTACTCCGGGGTAATCTCGATCGACGCGAACCGCATCCGCTTCGCGGTCCGCGAGTGGAAGGCCCTGCTCGCGCTGAAGGTGCTCGCGGCGCGTATCCGGGAGATCCTGGCGGGCACGTTCCGGGACCCGCAGAAGGTGCTATCGTATAAGCAGCAGCAGTGGGTGGGGATCTGGCAGCAGATTTTCTCGCTGGCGGGGAAGCGAGCGGAGAAACGGTAGTAGGGCTACAAGTGATTGGATATACGAAAGGCATATATATGCATGGGTATTTTATGAATTGATAGATTACATGTTTGGGGAGGGAGGTAGAGTACATAGATTTGAAAAGTTTTCACGAGGTTAAGAAGAGAGATTGGTTACATACTGAAGTCTGGATGGCTAGCAGAGTCGCTCGTTCTACTACTACGTGGGTCGAGTATATACATATATATATACATATATATATCTGGCGGCAGCGATGAGGACAACCAACCCTCCATCCAGTCATAAAGCCAAAGATTGAAAAAACAGAACCTTCATCCACCAGGAACAAAGAATCGCTCGATCGTAACGATATTCGCCAAATGCCAACAACGTTAATTGACTAATGAGTTATGTAGTAACAAGACCAGGCCAAGCACCCCCCCCCCCCCCCGGGCTGCACGACGTGTCTCGACTCCCGCCATCTTGTGGCCCAACATGATCGCTTCCCGCTCCACTGCGGCCCAGAATAGTGACTATGTAGTATGTAACTAGTACTAGATAGCTGGTACTGGTAGGCCACTGTGACAGTTGGCTATCTACAGCCAGGCCTAGACTGGGGAAGTCTAGTCTAGTCTAAGGGTTCCTAGAATACATGGGCATTACTTAATATAATAATTGGTTCATCGAGGAAATAAAACATATTTAGTTAGCAGCAGGAATAGAAACCATTCCAGCCTCGGTACTCGTACAAACTCATCATCATTTGAATCATCAAGCATACAAACAGACAGACAGACATAACCTTCCCATTCTAGACAAGAGCAGACCTACACCCCACAAAATCCAAAAATCCAATATACAAGGAGAGAAAAAGGGATAGAAAATGACCCAGACCTACAGCACCGAACTCCGCACCGCGTCGCTGGCCGTCCAGCGCGCCTGCCTCATCACCAAGACCGTCCTCGCCGCCCACGACAAGGGCTCCACCGCCAAAGACGACGCCTCGCCTGTTACCATCGCCGACTTCGCTGCGCAGGCCGTCCTCATCGCTGCCCTGCGGCGCAGGTTTCCCGCCGACGCGTTCATCGGTGAGGAGGCTGCGGCGACGCTGCGTGCGGACCGCGCGCTGGCGGACCGCGTCTGGGAGCTTGTCAGGGCGAGTGAGAGCGAGAGCGAGAGCGAGAGCAAGACGCTGGCGTCCGTCGAGGAGATGCTGGATGTGATTGATGTGGGGGTGGATGCTGAGGCTGAGGCTGAGACTGAGGCTGAATCTGGGAGCGGACGCAGACGCAGACGCAGACGCACGTGGATCATGGATCCAATCGACGGTACGGCGACGTTCATCCGTGGGCAGCAGTATGCCGTCTCCGTGGCACTAGTGGAGGACGGCGAGCAGGTGGTCGGAGTGGTCGGGTGTCCGAACGTCGTGTTCGGCGGGACGACGGTGCGCGAGGATGAAGTCGATCGCGACGGGTGCGGCATGATGCTGTCTGCTGTGAAGGGGCAGGGGACTTCTATGCGGCCGCTGGCACGGACGGGTCTGCTGCTGCCTGCCGAGCCGCTGCCGCTGCCGCTGCATGCGAAGGGTACGGGGAATACAGATGTGGACTCTGGGGGTTTACGCTTCGCGGAGAGTATGGCTAGCCCGTTCATCTCGGCGTCGAAGCATCTGGCGGTGCGGGGGAGGCTGGGGATCTCGGAGGAGAGAGTAACGGATCTCTGGTCGATGCAGATCAAGTATGCTGCGCTGGCGCTGGGGGCGTGTGATGTGATGATCCGGATCCCCAAGGAGAGGGAGTTCCATCCGTACGTCTGGGACCACGCGGGTGGGATGCTGGTGTATGAGGAAGCCGGGGGCAAGATCACCGATCTTCGAGGGAAGAGGTTTGATTTTGGGCGCGGGAGGAAGCTCAGTGAGAACGTGGGCTTGGTTGCGGCGCCCCCGGAGATTCACTCGAGGGTGCTGGATATCGCTCGTGAAGTCTTTGACGCGGTATAGCTAGCTGTCAGCGTATGGCCATGCTGCTCGAACTGTCCAGCAGAGGATCCTGCAAGATAGATCTGTGCGAAGACTGGCGACTACTGCACCGCATAGAGTATAGCAACTTCATCGGATGAAGTGCAAATAGACTCTCTCGATGTATCTCTATAATGTTGCCTTCAGCATGCAGTGTAGGCGTAATCGACACCCCTGTTTACCCGTCTGCTGTCGCTTTGATGTAGTCTGCCATGCAGGCTCGTCGTTCAGCACCGCGCTTTGACAGTACATCTCTGCCCCCATCAAGACATATAGATCTGGGTGTGCACTATGCCGTATGCTGTATACTGTATACAACGGACAGCCGCGACGATATGGATTTAAGGTTGACTACATAGCTGTGCATGGGGATACGGACACTGTGTGCGCTGAACCTGAGGCATAGGCTCCAGGCACAATCCAGCGCAAGACGATAGATTGATTCCTCAGGCTACCATTCCACCTCGACCTTCCCACAGGACCATTTCTTCGCGAGAAAAGACGGTGAGAGTGTACCCACGACTTGATTCTGTTCTAGACACACATCGCGTGAAGCGCCCTGACTCCTGATCAGTGCTGGCGAGTCATGTACCAAGTACTAGCTCCCGATTCCCCCTTCTACCATTGATGTCATTCGAACTGGCGAGTGTAGGACGTGTGTGATACACAGGGGAAACCGTGTAAGACTGTTACCTAGGTACTCCGTCTACAGTACCTAACCTACCTAGGCAGGTAGTCAGTAGAACTATGACAGTATCTAGTATCTTACTCTACGTCACTCGGACTCTCTGTTCATTTCTGTCCAACACAGACCGACTAATGAACACTGCTGAATGCTGATGATCTGGCAAGCGGGGATGGACGTGGATCGCCATCCTGGCCCTTCAACACTCGCATATGCAGCCACGGGTTGTTGCAGCTGAAACTGGATCCAGGACTGCTGGATGATGAGATGAATATGATATGCTAGTCTAGCTACAGAGGTCAGTAATTTGAAAAGAAAAGAAAAAAAAGAAAAAGAAAGAACTTAGAGAAGAAGATCCTGAAGCAAGGGAGGATGGAGGATGGTGGCGGTCAGACCATGAATCGATCATTAGATTCAATCAATCACCATAGTTGGCGCCGACAGTTGTGTGTAAAACATATCAGATAATAATTTTTTAAAAAAGAAAAAAAAAAGAAAAGGAAAACTGATTTACAGTAAATTGATATTATGATTATTATTTTAGGGATATCTATCTACAATTCTACATACAGTACTACTACTAGGCTACTGGTGCCCCGTGTCCACGACTAACGACAACTACGTGGTCGCTCCCACCGCCAGTCGATCCGCCCCCCTCGACATGTGCAGCCCAAGAATGAGAGCGAGAGCGCCTTGTCCACCCACTCACCCAGCAAGTCACTTTCCCGCTTTCAGTTCATCTTCTTCTTTAATCTATTTCTTCGATTCATTCAGGTTTCCCTGGTCCCCCGTCTTCCATTCATTCCCCTCTTTCTGATGGGAAAAGAGAGGTCCGTGATTACGGATCCTCAATGGAAGGGGGGGGGGAGGGGGAAAAAAACATAAGAAAATAAAACAAACTGGTCATCTTGGTCTTGCTCGGAAATTGTTCTGCGAATAGAAGCCCAGGGAGCAAGGAAGGGGTTTGCTGGCCGAAGTACAGATATGAGGATGAGTAAAGTGGTGATATACTCTGTAGGCCAAAGGCTCACCGGGACGATGCCATATCGAGACAAGAGTCCAGGCGGACAGTCACACAAGGATCTGCTGGTGAGTGACACGAAGATCCATTCTGGTCATTCACTAAGGTATGGATCTATGTATGTACATGCGATGTTACGGCTGAAGATTGAGTAAACTGATTGACTCTGCTGGAAACCTGAAGGCATTGGAGGATGGAGATCTAATTTGGTGGCGTGGATGTAGACAGGTTTGGTGTTATTATTTACCGACGGAGTGTTCGGTACAGTACCTAGTAGGTAGGTAAGTATGTAAGTACTCATGGGCCGTATGTGATCGAGTCTGATCTACGGAGTAGAGACTAGAGAGGATGGGATATCGACAGGAATTGCTGCTGTTTGCATGCACTGATCTTCTACTGCACGGGTACGGGATGCAATGTAAGGTAAGGTTAATTACCTGCAATGCATAAGGTAACTATCTGGAGGCATAATCGTCAGCTATTATGATCATCCCACTGGTAGCCTCGGGGGTCTACACTGTATGTCCTTCCTTGGACGACACTATCTTATTCTTACTAGTTGCTAGGTCCGTTCCTACACTGACAGACTACTGACAGACTGACAGTAGTAGAGAGTAGGTACCTAGAGAGTAGAGAGTAGAGACACCTGCAAGCGCCAGCTGAAACCGAGCCAAAGCTGACTTCCGCACACCCGTTCGGCGTTGATGAAAACACTTTCTCCCCAATCAACAGGCCAGGTCAGACTCTGAACCGGCCCCGAAGCGCCCAGCAGGATCACCAAGGGGGCCTGCTCGCATCATTGGCCCAGAGTGCATACGGATGGGGGAGGGTGAACCAGGTTAGTGTCCGTTGTCGTACTTTGCGAAGCACTTTTTGGCTTTGGGGGCCTTGGGGGCCATTGGCATTTTGGCCCCCTCTTCCAAAGTGGACCAGGATCGGGATTAATCCATGACCTCGAGAGCCAGTCATGGCTGGTTGAAGACGGGAGCCAGATTTCGCTTCGACCAAAAAATGCCCGATGGGCGGTAAATCAGACAGAGGGAGGAAAGGAAAGAGAAGGAGGAACATCCATGGGATATCCATGTTGGGGGGTGCTGTGGGCCTGTGGCTCACTGGTTGCCTTCTCACCTTCCGGTGTCCTGAACAGCCGATATCTCAAGACGGCGATCACTGACACTCCCACCAGGGCGCTAAGCTTACTTGACTTTTGTTTTCCCGTGCATGTCTGGTTCTAGAAGAGATCAAGTGTCGTACGGCAGCATGGAATGTCGCACATGGCGAGTTTCAGGTATGCAGGATGATGACCTAGATGATGCTTTATTCCTCATTATCTGGAGACTGCAGGAGGAGGGCAGGGCTATTCCGACAAATGCTATCGGAGAATATGAACTAGCAGGGGAGGTTGACATATCCTTATAATCAAGATGCTATTTTACTGGTGATTTCAAACTCCGATCCCGCACTACTGTACTCAACTTAGGTAGCTTAACTGGGAGCAATAGACGAGACACTTGAGAGAGATCCCTGTCGGGTCACACCAGCCAGCTAAACAGATACAGACATGATAATCTGAGCCAGATGTAACATGGATGCATTGAATTTGCACATGACCTTTACCAATCCTCGATGCAGCCGACGCGAGACAGAGACAGAGAGAGAGAGAGAGAGACAGAGAGAGAGATCCATGGGCCATGGACCATAGTATTCACCTCAGCAGCGCAGCACGCCGTACCTGCTTCTGATGTAAGCTACAGTAAGATTCAGATCACTCCTGCAGGATGCACACTGCAGTTGAAGAACCCCATAGCTTTTGACGGACTAGCTGCAAGCTAATTTGGGGGAGGCCACTTTGGTTGTTGTTGAATGGAAGACGGGCCATTATTCATTTTCTTTCACTGGATCCATACTTTCGGATGGTCTCGGACGGTACGGACAATAACCTAAGGTAGAGTGCATGGGCGGCTGCAAGGTACAGCCGTCGCTACTGTAAGTGGCCCGAAGCAGTTGACTTGATCGAGACCAGATTTGGCTCCGTCATCTTTGTTGCTTTGAGGTCATTAGTTAGAGGCAATTTGATTTTGGAAGGATCGGAGTGTGTGACATGATCCATAATTCTGACGATGATAGGCTTTGTTCTGGTGACGGGCCATCGGATTTGGAGTGATAAGGTGCCCCATACCGTATCCAGACTGTGGTGAAAGAATGACTCGGAAAGATAGTTAGGTACTGTTGATTGCTGAGCCGATTTAACCCGGAAACTCCGGTCTTCACTAAGCAAACTAGGTAACTATCTCAAAGTACCTTACCTCCATAAACTGTAAAGACGTGAGGAAAAAAAAAACAAATGTGCTTTAGTCCAAGTGATCGAGCCTTAAGTCAATTGGACCATAACCAAAGTCCCACATCTCGTGATGAGATTTGATCGTTGAAAAGGATTCCTCTCTTTGATTGGTTCGTACGCTAGCCAGCTGTCAGCTAACATGACCAGGATTCGGCGCCGAAAAACCGCACTGGTCCAGGATTGTCAGTTGTGCATTTGCGCATTCCGTCCTAGTGTGAGGAGATGGGACCACCCGCCAGCAATCTTATTGGACGGAAGTAGTATCTGACACCGAGCCTGGACTCACTGCTCAGGGCTAACCAGAGCTCCGACCGTCTGACGATCCAAGCGGTTGAGGCTGCCTCTCATCCATGGTTATGCTGCGGAACCTAGAACATTCCGCATTGTGTCTGTTAGTGGGGTTCATGGGTCAGTTTTGACTTTCGACCATGGTACGAAGTATGGAGTAGGTATGTACTTTATTAGTAACTTATCTAGGTGGTACTATGGTAGTATGTATTTTTAAACTCAAGTACGGACTCTACGGAGCTGTCCTTGGCCGAGATCGAGCCGTGAGCGGGGTTGTCGATGGTTGACTCTGACGATGGTTGATTCATTTTCAGTTATTGTTATGTTATGAGTGATTTTATTCGGAGGCATCGGCGCTAGTCTCAAGTCAAGTCAAATCAGTTCAGTAAATTGGTCATCGATAACAGGTTGGAATCTGGAACACGGAGTCCTTGACCATCCAGCAGATCAGATGAAACTAATACGATCGTAGCGAGGAGGCTCAGGTTACTGCTCAGTGCTCAGAGTAGATAGACTACAGCACCCCACAGCGATCTGCTGTATGTACGACGGCTGCGGGAGTCGGCCCGCCGGTAGCAGTCCGCAGCATGTCTGTCATGATCAAGCAGATCGGCTTATATTAATCCTCCAGATACCGAGGGAAATTGCAATCCTTGGAGAAATGGCCCTGGTCTATTAATTCTTGGCTGGGAAAACGCCACTGTATGAGGTATTGGTAGTTATGAGTCTATTGCCAGTAGGTCATGAGATAAGGGCCAACGCTATTCGCTGCGAATTGGTCAGCCTAAGTAGGTAGTATGCCCCTCCAATGTCTCGTAGATCGTTCTCCCTCCACCCCCGTCGGTCCTCACGGGGAAGAATAAGATTCCATGCATGTATAGACTCGACATGCATAGGTGACACCCGACTGTGGTCTACCAGTGCAGTGTATAATATGCCAAATATCCGGGGATTCGAATGCCTGGATGTCGTGAAATCTCTACCGTGTCATCTGGCTTTCTCGTGCAAAGCAAAGCAAAGCGACTAAATCTCGGGCCCAACTCGTTCTGGGATCTGAGATGCCAGGTCAGACTGAATTGCTTCCATCCAAATGCAGGCCTCTCGGAAGTCTTCTTCCGGGTCGGTATGTCGAATACATGGCAAATTACGGGTAGGACGCCTGGGCTAAGCTGGTACGACGTCGCTAACAATCCGTCGTCAGCTTCTTTTGTCCTTTACGGCGTAGTCAGAAGCTACTTACTAGGCAGGCTGTCTACCGTGGTTGTATCTAAGTGGTTCGATAAGCTAGTGTCTGTTCGCGGGTAGTTATTTTCGCTCGCCAATTTATTGGGCTCGAATTCATTTTCCAACAAAAAATCCATATCATTTTTGATGTTGAGAACACTGAAACGGTGAGAATGAGAGTCCAGAATCTATGTACAGAGATACCTAAGCCTATCTATCCACCCCTTGGCCCTTCCACACCCTTTTTCATCCCTGCTCGATTACAGGCTTGTGGGGAACCAGTGTTGCAGGCGGTGGAGTCAACTCTGAGCTGGACATATCCATGCCCCATGGGCGAAGGTCGTGAAGTATCTATGTACATACAGATTACAAAAAGTATCTAATAATGAATTACTGGAGGATCATTAGTAGTGACTAGAATAAGTACATATGAGCTAGTCGCCCCCACTGCACGCAAGGGGTTGCTGCAAGACGACTTGTCTTGGCTTATGAAAACTAGGAAAAGTTTTAGTATTCGCAGGGTCTCCCGTCAGCCGAGCATGGGACAGCTGGAACAATAGGACTTGTCAGTTGGGGTTGAGAGATGAAATGTCATTTCTGACATCCACGGTCAGGTTGTCCCCAAGATCCTCCGTAGAAATCGAATGTATCTTTCTTGACAACAAGCGGTGAGGCCTAGATCTTTTGCGTTGTTTTTGACCGCATGATTGCCCTTGCGCTTGGATACTGGATATCCAGAAACTCTACTCTATCTGGAGTGCTCCCCTTGGGAGATATGGGAATGGATAGATAACTGTGTACTGAAGTAGGGTAGATGGGTATATGATCTGAGTAAATGGGCGCGCTTCAATGAAGCTAAGATAGCCGAGTCCGTCTTCTTTCAGATAGTGGGTATGTTTAATATTTGCTAATTTATCAACCCACTCCGGGCGACTTTGCTCCATCGTATTCTGGATGTATCATCTCATAGACTCATTTGGTTGTATCACACCAGGGAGATCTCCAGCGGAGAATTACTCAGGACTGACTCTTTCTGGTTGTACAGCAGCAGATGATCGAGACTGGCATGGATCGTGGGACGTGGACATGTCACGGGGTTGGGCTGACTCTTGACCGACTTTGTCACTTCTGATACATCCAACACCACCTGGGAATTCTAGAAGTCATCAAACCCCATACTCACGGAACTAGTTGATTCTTGCGTCAATTTCCATCTAGGTAAGCGCAGGACTGGCTCCGTAGAAGGATCGATAGCAATTGGAGGAATACCCAGGAGTATGTATGTACCGTAGGTACGCTATATCTAGATGAACGATAATAGAGACTCCTAAGAATTTATTTGGTGGGAGACTTGCCGAGTTTCCACACAGACATATTGATTCTCCGTCTACGTAACTAGAGTACTTGTTTTGCCATCCTCAATATGGAGACCTCTGTTCTAGATACAAGGGGTTGCTCTACTCTATCTGACAAGAAAGCCAAGGATTGTAAAGTACAAGTCAGATTGATACACAGTCTTGGATCGACTGTTGCTCGCACGCCACCGTCGTCCTTCGTGGTGCTCTCTCCGCCAGTGGATCATCCCTGTTCTCTGTGTAATCCCTGCCATTTCTCTCTCTCTCTCTCTCTCTCTCTTATCCTGGCTCGTTTCTTCTTGCCCTGCTGCTCTTTGTGTGACATGGTTATTCCTCACTTGCCGACCCGGCACTGGTGCTGGGTCATGATTATCCACTCCGTATTCGTAACTTGCTAGGTAATAATTACCTAGGTAATTAGGTATCTGGGACACTGTAAGTGCCTGCCTCCCTACCTATTTTACCTATTTTTCATTCCATTGACTGGGCTTCTCCCAACTCATGGTGGAATTGGTCTGGAATGTTGGGCAATGAGGCCCGCCTCAGCCCACTCGATTTCCCCAACCTCGTGATCCGATATTGTGGCTAGCTTTTTTGTTTTATCTTTATTTTGTTGTCTGTACTTACGTCTTCCCGGTGTAAAAAAACATTTAGATACTCCATAATCCGATTGTTATAATTTCTTGATGGGTGGTTTTGTTCTATTGATTTTTTTTTTTGGTCAAGTGTTCTTTGAGTCTTTTCATTCCTTTCTTTTTTCCTTCAACCTTTGGGTTGTTTTGGGCGGGTCCGCACCCTAACGCCCTCCAGATCGTCCCGAAGCCTTAATCAAATCCATTTCTTCGCATCGACGCACACACCATTCTGACGAGATG